TGAAGTCAGCAAATCTGTACTTTTATGTTTGTATTTCAAATATGCCAGGGAGAGGGTCCTGGACCACGTCCACTCGAGACAAATGTCCTCTTTTGGCCAAGCAAGCTGCCGCTGCTGTTATTTTTGGCCAACTAGAAAATTATGGCTGTTGTTGGGTGAGGTGGAATGATGTATACCCTGGGGGCAGAGTTGGCCTAATCCAAGCATAATAAAATTGATTTCTTTTTGCGTCAAAGGGTAAGTCCCAATGAATGACCCTGATGTTTATGGTTGAATGAGTTTAAGTTTGTTGCGGAAAATAAGTAACTTGGTTTGTAAAATATTAATAAAATAGGTTAAGAATAACTTAAAGAAGTATAGAATTTAGTTAGTAGGAAATGCATTTTAAGTCTTAAAATAAAGCTTATATAGAATACCTATATTTTCTTTTTATTTTCCTATACAAAATGTTATAGAATAAACCTTTATCTAGACTTAATTTCCCTTACTTATTAATCCAAAGGCTTATAATCAAATTGACAACTTCCGTATAGATTCCCAATTGATGGGAAATTAGTTAATGGATTTGTAACTTGGCCAAGCAAACTTGGTGTCGCAACTAATCCGGCAAATCCAGTTCCCCCATTTGATTAGCCAGCATATTTATCACTAAGTAGCCGAAAAGTAGTTTATCTACGCCATTTCCATTCTCTAATACAAACGCAAAAAGAAAAATACAAGCCTCATTCCCATTCTTTTTCCCCCCTCCCGAAAATGCCCAAATGTTTTCTCATTGTTATGCGTAGTATGCACAAATTTTTGTATTTGTATTTGTGTTATTGCCTCTGTATGAGTGCCAAGTGCAAGTGTATGCGTGAGGCATGGGTGGTGGGTGGTGGTGGTGTTGCGGCGGGACACATGCGTGCGATTTATTTGCTGTCACCACAAACACAAACATCAGCGGAGATAGGCCAACATACAGTGGTTGTCAAGGGAATAGGTCAGTAAAATGATGAATTAATTAATTTTAATTATTACAAAAATATTTAAAAACAAATCAATTGATTTATTAATTACTAAGTATTTTTTTAAGTAATCAACAATGAAGAGGAATAAAAAGTAATGTCCATCTAAGAATTGCCATTAAGGAAAACTTACCCTTGTGTAAAATGTAGCATACTTTGCAGCGCATGCAAACAGTCAGATTGAGCCAGTTTTAGCTACCATTTAATATACCTTTCTTTGTAATTAAAGCAATTTGAGTAGAACACTGAAAACATTATACATTTCTCCTAATTATTCACCCCTATTTCCCTGACTTGTGCTGTTAAAATACACCCATATAGTATAGCCACAATAACAATGACTTTCGCACCCTCAGCCGACACTTGGTCCCACAAATTAACCCAGGCACGTAGCTCGCTTAGGCGGCCTAATCAAATAGAAGCGCCCAAATCAAACAACAACAAGTGAAGAGGCAGCACAAGCAGCAAAAGCAAAAGCAAAAGCTTGGGCAAAAGCTGAAGCAGCCACACGAAGAGCTAAGTAAATATATGGGCTTCACACCCACAAATTGGCGGGGATTTCCATTCAGACACCAGGTCCAAGTCCTTGGCTAACTGAATTCCCACGAGCGACTGGCAGCAGGCCATTGATTTGCCAGACATTCAATGCACGGGATCCATGCCACTCTCCTGTCAACTCCAGACGAGATCATTCAACTCATTTGACACTCATTAAAATGAGAAATAAATACAAATCAAATAACAATAAAGATTTAATTTGAATAAAGTGATCTAGACATGGTTTCCTTTTGCTAGTATCATCATTAAATTATATAAATATATATAGTGCCTGTGGAGCACAGTTTATTTGTTTATGGTTAATAAATATTTATGCAAATAAATCTAGCAAAATAATTTTAAATAACAAAACTAAAGTGGGCAAAGACAAACAAATATATGTTAATTGGTAAGGGATGATGATTTATTTTAATACAAATGGTTTATGGGAAGTTTATATTCTCTTACAGCTTGCAAATTAGTTATAGGACTACAACGGATATCGATCCTAACTAAGCTTAAGGTATTTGCATTCTTTGCATCGATATTTATAGATATTTATATATGACAATTTTAACAACAAACCAAAATTTAAATTTCTCATAACGTCGTCAAAAAAGCATTAATTTTAATTCGGAAAGCTGTTTTATGTTAGTTTTTATAAGGTTTATAAATCTGCATACTCAAAGTAAAATTTTAGAAAATCAAAATGTTAGCCAATTTTTGACAATTTTAACGATGTAACCCCTTATAAAAATTTGCAAATTTAAGAAATTAAAAAAAAAAAATTTGGCCAATAGATAGCTAGATGAACTCCGCTGTTGATTCTGATCAAGAATATATATACTTTATAGGGTCGGAAACGACTTCTAGACATATTTATAAGCTTTTGACTTAAATTATAATACCCTAAAAGGGCTTAAGAAAGTCTTTGATTTAAGATAAATCCAGCATACATGGCGTATACTTAACGTGAAAGCCCATAAATTAAGTATACGCCATGTGTGTTTTAAGAAAGTTTAGCCAAAAAGCAAGTTATCTTTTTAATTAAAAGATTAAATCGGAAATCGATCATAACTAGGCTTTAAATATTTGATATTTATAATTATTTTTATATATAAACCATTTGACAAATCAAAGTTTAAAAAACGCATAACTTAGCCAACAAAGCATTAATTTTTAATTCGGAAAGTTGTCCAATGTTAGTTTTCATTGGGCTAATAAATCTGTTTACTTGATTTAAGAACTAAAAAATGAAAATTTTTGTTAATTTTTCACAATTTTAACTACCATATGTAACTCCTTTTAAAAATTTGAAATATTTTTCAAAAATTTATTATTTTTCGATATGCCTAGAAATATTATGCTGATCAAGAATATATGATTTATAGGGTCGCAAATGACTCCTTCACTGAATTATAACTTTGTGAATATAGTTATAATACCCTGGAATGTAATAAAAAGTTAACTAATTTAACAGTGGCTCAGACTCAACAGTCTGCTAACAGAGCTTCAAGCCGCTGTTAGCCACTGCTTTCTCGACCCGCTCTGCTGGCAGTTTGAGGTAATTAAGTTTCTTTTGCTGCTTTTTTCTTTCTTCTTTTTGCTTTGCACACACGAACACACACCCTTAAGTGTACCAGTGGGTGGTGTGTAGTGGTTGATGGTAGGCGCTCATATTAATTAGGCCCCCCGCCTGGCCCTCCCGCAGATCTTTCGCAGAGTTGCTGAGTGCTAAGTAAATTGAGTGGCTCTACATGACGAGTGGCATTTGCCTTTGTTGGCCATGTTTGTAGCTGCTGCTGCTGCTGTTGCTGCCTTTGTAGCTGTAGCTGCTTATGCCTTGCCCCCTCTTTGAGTGGCTGCCACTTTAGTGGCGCTAAAGTCGTGGAAAATGAGCCATCAACAGCTGCCGCCCCGAGGCCTGTTTGCTTGGGCGAAAGGAAAAGCAGGCAGAGGGGCACTGCAGGAAAATATAAAGAGAAATGGATTTAGAGAAAATATATATATCATTTTAGTTTGTTTATTTCATTAAAGGTTCAAAATTATGTTAAATTTTTAAGTACTAAAACCTTATTTTAAATTGTAAAGATTTGTATTAAATTGTTTTCAGTGCCGCTTTGGTAGCAACGACCAACAGGCAACAGGCAAGCCAGTTGTTGACATTCTTTCTTAGCCTGGCTGTTTGACTAGACGCCCCAGCACGTGCTGCTGCTGCTGCTGCTGCTGCTGGCGAGAGCGGGACGGAGCAACGCTGGTGGAGCAGTGGAAGCCAGCTGGGCATGCATATTTCATGGCGTAAGCCAACTCCTGTCCCAGTCCCCAATCTCGCTGTCCTGGTCCTGGAGGATGCGGCAGCAGGGCCACAACATCATTACAAGCATCCAGCTCCTCGGCTGCGGGTTTACTTTGCTGTTTCGCATGTCGCACGCCTCATTTATTTATGCACAAATATCCCACAGAAGGTGCAGGTGGCAAAGGCAGCTTGCTGTGGCAGCAACATCACCAGCAGCAGCAGCAGCAACATCCCCTTCAGCAGCAGCAGCAACATCAGTGACAGCAACAGCTGGAAATTTTCAATTCAATCAGTTTAAATCTCACTGCCGAGAGTTTCCTGCGATTTTTCAGTCACAAAAGTTGGCATTTCATCACTACAGAGATTTTGTTTATACATTTTATATTATTCAGAACATTCAGCTAAGAGATTCTGGGGAATAAAAATCTTCAAGTCTAAAATAAAGTGGGAGGTATTGCATTAAGTTTTAATATTTCTATACATTTTCTTTAAAGAAATAACTCTGAAAAACTGCAATTTTGTAAAATGAATCCATAAAATTCTAAAAAAATATGTTCGTTTTATTTCAAGATTGAAATAAAAAGTTTGACTTATAAAAATGCAAACAAAAACTGAGTTAAAGACAGTTTGAATTATATCTAAGGGAAGGCTTTAACAAAACAGAGATTTCCTTTAACTGTCTCAATTTTAAAGTTTATATATTTATAGAAAAAAACATTTATTTAATGTCCTTAACTCATAGACAAACTATTGACCTTTCGTTGCCCCCTAAAAACACACTCAAACACATGTTTATTTGTCAAAAACTTTGCCGTGACTGAAATACCAAATGAATAAAGAACCGAAAGGAAACCCATATAGAAAAAGGACTCTTAGACGCCGGTTTTAAATTGTGCTTAAGTATAATATTTGTTTATTTTATTGCACAGAAATGTTTGTAGCTTCTTCTCTTCCTCTCTCTCTTATTTTTATTTTATTTCATTTTTGTTTTCTTACACACTAAAAACAGTGACAAATCAGACCCAGACTTGTGTATTTGCTGCTGCTGTGTTTGTGTTTCTCTGTGGCCTCGCCTCGTATTTTGGTTTATTTTCGTCTTAATCTGCGTAAATTGTATTTCATTTGATTTCATTTTTGCCCCCGCTGGGATCCTTGGTGGCTCCTCAGACAAAGGGATGCCGCGTACGCCGCTTGGCTTTGATGGGATACTCATAGCCCTCAAAGTCATCGTCCAGCTCGTCCTCCTGGTGGTTGTGATGGTGATGGTGGTGGCTGCGGCTGCTGTGGTGCTTCTTCGGCTCGTGGTGGTGCTCCTTGACCGGCACCGGAATGGGCAATGGTACCTTCTTAATGACCGTCTTTGTGTGCACATGTGTGTGATGCTTCACCGGCACGTGTATTCGGATCCTGTGAATGGATGCCAACAAAAGTGTTACACAGTAAGGAAAAAATCAGGGGGATTTTGTGGGTTTAATATCTAAGGGAGTTTAAAATATTAAATTTAATTTTTTAAGGATCTTTAGGGTTCTTAAAATCGCTTTAAGTTATAGATTAATGATACAATGTATGAGCAGGTGGTTAACAAAGTTTTATGGCTAGAAACTTACTACAGACTCTCCTAGCTAATTGTATTTACATTTAATATTTTATTAAATATTATTTTAGTTATTGTTAGTTAATTATTTCTCTTAGTGCAATCGTTAAAGGGGCGTGTACTTGGGGGGCTGGGTCTTACTTCAGCTTGTCGCTTGATGGATGGCCGCCTGCCAGTGCGAACATCATGCAAGTGATGAACAGAAAGCTTAATGCCTGCAACGGAAACAAGTATAAAGATTACGGATTCAAGGTTATCGCCCTCTCTTAAATATATATATATAATATTTTTTTTTTCTTTCGAAACAGCTCATAAACAGCCGAACAATACAAGTAGCATAATAATACCCATTCACAGGGACCTTATTTTATATTGGCAGGCCTCATCTAATGATGATGATGAGACCTCCTTCACTCGCAGGACACTTTCTTTTTTTGGTGGGCGTGACGGAAGCTGTCAGCCGCACGAGGACATTTTTGAGCCCTGGTCAATTTTGGAATTAGAAAACAATTTTTTTGGTCGATTACCCAGAACTCTTAGCCAATTGCTACATTTGGCAACAACTGTGAAGCCTTAAATCAAATGGTTATTCATTTTCGCTGATTGCTTGAAAAGCGAGGAAAACCAGAGACAAATTTCTTTAGATTGAGTTTAAGTTAAGGAATGTGGATTAAATGTTGGGAAAACAATGTATACAATTTTCTTTAGTAAGGAAAACTTCACAAGCATCTTAGAAATGTTGTATAAAATTAAATTTCAAATGTAGAATTTAAAATGAACCATTAAAACTTGAATTGCAAAGATCTAAGTAATTTAATTTTGTTTTAAAATCATTGAATATATGTGAAACTAAATTAAAAGTTATATATTTAGGGTTACTTTTTAAATATAATAATAATTATTTTAGGAAATTACGGCCAAGAAATATTGTTACATTTTTTGTTAAGCCTTTCAAATTGTACAGAAAAACAAACATTAGTTAAAGTTTCTTGGCTTAAATTTTCTCCTTGGCTTTAGTGCAGAATCCACAGAATCATGGCCATCATGATAGTATCTTTATTGTAATTTTGTAAAAATATATATTATTTTTCATTTAATTTTCTGGCTTTTCCACAATCACTAAGCGAGTGCCTTTCACTTGGTGTGTGTTTGCTGCTCCCTTTACTATTGTCCAAATATGACTTTCCCTTTGTTGCACATTTTCGTTCAATTAACCGTTTATGGCCCACTTGAGAGTTCTTTGAATGTTTCAACAATTGGAGGTTGTAAAAAAAACAAATTAAGTTTTTGTGGTTATTTTTTTTTTTCGTCTCATTTCCCGCGCGATTGGAGTCAATGAATTCGTTGCAAAATGAAAGCGTTTCTTGTTTTTTTATTATTTGCATATTTCCCCGTACACAAATTATTTGGGGACTTTCTAAGCCGGATTTCATTTTAAATATTTATTTTTATTATATATTTGTTTTTTTTTTTTGCCCGGCTCTCTGCGAGTTTTCCCCGTGAAATAATTTCGAGTGTTTATATTTCGTAGAGTTTTGTTTTTACGCGCCTCCCACGCCGCTGAATGTTTGTTCGCTTTGCAAAACGTAATTAACACTTACTCCTTGGGGCAAATGCATTGTTGTTTTGCGGTTTTTCTACAGTTTTTGTTATTTGTTTTTTTATATTTTTATTTTTGCTATTTGATATTGTTTAATTGGATTAAAGCAGCGGATTTCGGTTAACCAGCGTCGACGGGCGTAGAAATGGAATTGCTCTGGGACCCGCCGCCTGCATCCGCTTAAATATGAGGCAAAAAGCAAAGAAAAAATTTATGAGCTACAGTGAAACGTGCCACCGACTGGAAGCGAAGCCATCGCACACGCCGCCAAGCTGAAGTTGCTGAGTTGGAAACAAAGCAAAAAAAAAGTAAGTAAGTGAGTAAAAAACACAAAAAAAAAACCAAACAAAAACATAATCAAGTCGCTTTCAGGGTGCCGGCGGTGCGGTGCGGAAGTGGACAACTTGTCCAAGTTGTTGCCTCAAACTGCGGCAGGTTAACAGACTTGCACCTCACCATCTCCTCGGATTCCCCCAAGCTGAATCCAACTCGGAATCGGACTCGGAGTCGGACTTGTGGCCATGTTAACTGCCGCCTGGCACTGGCTCTTAGCCAGGTCGCACTAAGTCGACTTGGCCAAGACGCTGCATTGCAGGGATATCGAAAGAACAAGAAAGGAAACTAGATTCGAGAGGCCCAAACCTAAAGACCTTTGCAGTTCGCAAATTAATTATAAGATAGTATCGGAAATCGATAATAAGTAATCTTAAAATATTTACATTCCTTGAGTGCATATTTATCAATATTATTTTAAGACAATTTTATTCCACAAATCAAAGTTTAAATAATCCATAACTTAGCCAACAAAGCATTCATTTTGAATTCGGAAAGCTGTTCTATGTTAACAAATCTACATACTCAATTTATAATTTAAGAAAACTAAAAAAAACAGAAAACTTAATACTCTGCAAGGGTATAAAAATAGTTTTCGATATAAGATAAATCTAGTATACATGGCGTATACTTAACCTGAAAGCCCTTAAATTACGTATACGCCATGTGTGTTTTAAGGAAGAATAGTTAAGAAATGTATAAAGATAGGTAGTTCCAGTTAAGAAGCAAGTTTAACAATTCAATTATAAGATCGGATTCGGAAATCCATCTTAACTAAGCTTAATATATTATATTGTCAACATATTTTTATGACAATACTTGTACTTTCGTCAAATTAAAATTTAAAAATCTCATAACTAAGCTAAAAAGCCTTCAATTTTAATTCGGAAAGCAGTTTTATGTTAGTTTTCGTTAGGTTAATAAGGCTTTATACTCAATTTAAAATTTTAATTTTTGACAATTTTTGACAATTTTAACGATGTAAACCCTTATAAAAGTTTTAAAATTTTAAAAATTTTGAAAAAATTTGATTTTGTGCGGAGATAACTAGATTTTGATGCTGATCAAGAGTATATTTATTCTTTTCTTTGTTGGGATTATGCATTCTGGTTTCTTTCAACTTCCATATACCCTGTATAGATGGCTTATCTTAGAGTAGGGTGCCTTACCACCCTGACATGATAGTGAAAACAGATGCCGCAAATAAACCGAGAGTCAAAACAGAAACGAGAGCCACCAAAGTAACCAGCAAAGTCAAAAGCCAGCGGCAACTCAAGCTCAAAGCCACAAACACAAGCAGAAGCAGGGAATCCCCTTCATGCCAAAATCCAAATCGACTGAGGCCAGAGCCAGAGGGGAGGGGTAGGTGTAATTGAAGCCTGTGCCTCTGCCTCTCAGTTTAAACGCAGCGATTATGTCGGTCTGGCCGCCTCCAGCGGTAGCAAGACGGGGGGCAGCATGCAACATGGGGCAGGTTGAGTTTGGAGCCGGCAGCAGGTTGCCATTGCAACGCGCAGTTTTCAGTTTCAGTTGCAAGCGGCAAGGATTTTGGATTTCGGATTTTGCCAGCTTCCTGGTCAGGCACTCGGTCTCGGTCTTGCATTCGTTTTGTCGCAAATTGAGTTGTGCGCTGAAATATGTCGTCGTGTCAACCGCAAAAAGAGCACTGAGAGAAAAGTAGGAAATAGTAAATAAAATATTGATAAAGAATATTAAATATTCGATTTGGGATTGAATTAGTAACAGAGCTAAAAGGACAACGCAAGATTTATTGGGTGAGGTTCTCTCGAAAAAGGTTTTAGAAACTTTAAAATATAATATTTAGTTTTCTATTTTATTAGCCAAAATATTAAGTTAATACATAAAGAAATTAAAAGATTAAACGATAAATAAAACATAAATGGAGTATTGTTTTTAAGGAAAGAAATTTGTAAACTTTAATCAATCTCATTGTGTTATATTATAGTTAATAAAGTAAAAGAGAAAATATAGAGTATAAGTACCTGTTTTAAAATATAAGCTGAGCTGAAAATATTATATAAATACATTATTAACTAAAAGGGAAATGTAATGTAAATATAAGTTTGATTCAAATATATTATTAACTTTAATATATATAGTTTTAAAACCCTTCCAAGGTATTATTATTATAGTCAGAAGCTTATAACGTTGCGAAGTAGTCATTTCCGACCCTAAAAAGTATATATATTCTTGATCAGCATTAACAGGCGAGTCGATCTAGCTATTTCCGTACAAAATCTATTTTTTCCAAATTTTCGAAATGTTCTAAATTGTTCTAAAATTGCCAAAAATTTTGATTTTTTACAATTTTATTTTGAGTATGCAGATTTATTTACCTAATAAAAACTAACACAGGGCCGCTTTCCGAATTCGAATTAAAGAATTGTTGGTTTAGTTAAGAGTTTTTTAAACTTGGATTTGTTGAACATATTTTCATGGAATACTTTTGATAAATATTAAAAAATATTAAATATTAAACGGATGTTTTAAGCTTGATTATGATCGTTTTCCGATTGGATCCTATTATTCAATTTCAAACGGATTCAAGGATCCCTGCAGCACTATGCTGTCAGCATATCCTATAAAAAATTAAAAAAACTATGTAGCTCCTTGTTTTGTTTTGTACCCAAGATTAAGTAGTAGATAACTATCTGCTACAATGTTGCATTCGATTTGATTACAGTGCACACTTGCACCCGCACCGACCTGCATTTGATTGCAATTTAAATGTGCTGCTCCGCGATGGCAATCCATTTGATTGGCCCATTCTGGCCGCTGGGCCCGCACTTTGGCCATTTAAGTCAGCCAGTTGGCAGTTAGGCGTTTTGAAGGCAGTGGCAGAGTCAGAGGCAATGAATGTAAAATGTAATGCAGGAAGCGCTCCATTTCGGCCGGCTAATCAACTGGTTTCGCCGTGATTTTCGCTGTGATTGCATAACAATGACAAATCCAGACCAGACCAGACCACGGCTGCACGACACTTGGTCATTGTCTTCGCCACGGCGATGGCTCATCCGATATCCAACGGGTTTCTGGACTGGATTGGGCTGGACTGGACTGTGCTGTTCCGCCTGACATGATATAACCGTGCTTTTGATACATCCACTTATTGGCCTGCAATTGTAATTGCGGAAAGTTTGAGGAGTTTTTCTCTTTGGGTCTCGTTTTCATTATTACTATTGTTTGTTTGTTTTTTATTTTCGCGGCCAGAAGTTAGGCAATTAACGGACACATTTTGATGATATAATCACCAAAAGCAAGAAATATGATCGGACCCGGTTGGTTAGTTAGCTTTTTGTCTCTCTGTCTGCCACTTTTCCATTGCGAAAAAGTGTCAAAATTAATTGCATACAAAGTGGTTCGATCCGATCCGATACGATCCGATCCACCCGGTTGGTCCGCCATCGGGTCATTACCACCACATTCGAGGGGTTGGTGTGCAACAATCGAGTTGAAAGCCTCTTCCTCCGACTGAAAATAGAAATGTTGAATGTTGCACAGACCGAAACATGATGTAAATAGAGGTTGTCATAATAATAATAACACTTAATAATACCATTTAATCTGGTTTATAAAGCCTGAAAGCGGTTTATGAAGATAATTTTAAGGTGGTAATTTTATTCAACGAGATTATTTCAATAAATAACTGTCTCAAGGCCAATGTAAATTAAGAAAACAATAAAAACTTGTGGATATATTGCCAGATACAGATATATGGCTTTAGTTAACTGGGAAATATATATACATATATAATTTAATACTATTATATAAACTTTTTTAATACATAATCTATACTTTATAATATACTATATAATAAATAAATAAATAAATAAGTATGTATATAATATATGAGTCAAGAATGTCATGGGGATTTATTTTTTTCTTTGTTACAAATTTTATAATTGAGTCAATTTTATGATATATTTAAACAGGACATATTTTGAATACAAATATTATTATTTTTATTACTAAACTAAGAAAACTATAATTGACAGAAAATATTTATATATCCTTACAAAAATGACTATAAAATCTAAATTAAATATTATATTTGCAGTTTATAAAGAAATTATAAAAATGATTACCAAATTACATTCATTACCAAATTGTTGGTTAGAACCCTTAAGAAATTATAAAGGTAAATTGCAGTGCATTTAAGAACTTTGTGGATTTTTCGACTTTTTCCATTTTTACTCTGCCACAATTCCCATTATGGAGGCAATTTTTGAAGATCCAATATTTGTGGGCGAGATTGCGTGGAGTTCAAACAACAACAGAAAAAAAAACTGGCGCAAGGATTTCCCCCGAGGGGGTGGCACTTTCCCACCTCTCCCGCAGATTAATATCGGAGATGGCCAACGGGCAGGGTGGCAGTGGCGGGATGAAAAAAACGAAAATGGCCAAAGCCAAATTTGCTTAACCTGTTGTGTGTTTCGGCCTTTCACTGCTGCCAAGGATTATCCAACCGAAAGCCCCGGAAACCGATACATCAGGCCTGTTGTCTCCCCGTCCGCCATCCATTTCCTTTGCCAATAAATTTTCACTTAACTATGTCGATCATCGCCCAACGAGACTCGACCGCTGCATGCATAAATGCGTGCATGAGTATGAGTATGCAACATGCTACATGCTACATGCAACATTCATGTGCAGCAAACCAACTCA